CCTAATTATATTCAGGTTCACTGCTTTAGGGGGGGATTATCTGCTACGATTCTAATTAAGGTCCTGATTTTGCACAGGCAATTAAAAAATGAAGGCAAAATTCTGTCTGACTCCTGTGAGTGCAAAAAGTGGTGGTAGAAACTGTGAGGCCACCACAACTTTGTCCCAATACATAGGTCCTGTGCAAGGCTAGAGTCACCAATGGTGCTAGTTGTTGCAAAGGATGGGGAGGTGGAGGGAATATTGGCCTATCCTTTTCAAGCACTTGCCAGCAGAGCTTCCCCTAATCAGAAGGGACTTCCTTCTTCAAAGCTGGTTCTGTGGTGGTACTACTGGCTCCTGAAGGCATCGTGCTTACTTGAGCACACATACCTACAGGGAACAGCTCCATTCCAGCTCTTCCCATAGATACTATCACAATGCCATAATGGAGCTCAGGATATCTTAGTCCTGCAAATCCAGCAGAACCAAGTTTTCCAGGGAGTCTACTTCCATCTCACTCTGTTCAGCCTTGCTGAAGTTTTTAAGACAGATACAACACATGATTTTAAAACAGAATTAAATTATTAATTTCACCAGGTTATTTTGCACTTAGTAGCAGTTCTTGAAAAACATTTAAACAAAAGTGTTATTCACTGACATATTTGTGAACACTTTTTCCACAGCATGTTTGAGTTGATATTAGAATTAAACACATTTCTTTTAAGCTGAGAAATATTTAACCTATTGTGTTCATGCCACTGGTAGCTGAACATGTAACTCCAGTTGTTCATTCAAAACTGAAGTGATTAGCAAGAGAAATGTTTTATAGAGCACATAGAATGTCATGGCACTGCAAAGATGTCTTTGCATTTGTGCAAGGTATTTATGTGCATAGTTCAGGCAATTGTTTATGTAAATTGAGGATTAAGATGCACAGAGAAATAGGCATGTGACTAATTGGGTTGCTGCATGTTCAGGTAACAGAATTGTGCATGCAGTTACACGCACAAATTATACACGTGAATGTGTACAGCTTGCACCATGGCTTTTCGTGTGCATGGCCTATTTGGCCAATTCATTAGATCAGTTACCTCAAATTAAGTGATTTTTCTCAAAACTCCTGGTCAGAGACGGTCTTTAGTTTGGCACCAGCAAATGAAAGGCAGGGGATGAAAACGGAGATAAAAAAATATAAGTAATAAAGAAATGTGGGCAAGCTCTAATGGGGCTCCCTAAGCCTGATACAATTCTTTGAAATACGATTGGAGAACAACGTGACCTGGATTAAAGATGAAGGAAGCAAGATATCAGGATAGTATTACTTTCCGAAGCATTGCAACACAAATTAGGTTCAGTTACATTTGATGAGTCTGCAAATACAAAGACAATACTTTAAAAGGAAGCATCTGAGAATGATAAAGATGAGACACTGAGAAAGAAGTTGTGTGGGTTTCTTATACAGAATTTAAAAAGAAATTCCAAAGATGCAGTTATAAAAAAGTAGAAGAGATGAAGATATCACAAAGGAGGCTAAGAAAATAAAAGTTAGATGAAGGAATAATTAAAAAAAAAAAGATTGTTTTGGACTTTTATAGAAGTGTTCTTACCTTCCTTTGCCACTCTTGCATTTTCTGATCTTTATCACACATTCTATATCTTGCCCACTAGTTGCGTTCAAATCCCCACTTTTCTTTATCCTGCTGATTTCTTCTTCTTTCTGTCAGACGGTGAATTACATTGATCCATTTTCAATTAATATTCTTGCCATGTATTTTTGCTTGTGTCAATGACTTTCAAATCTTCTCACCCTTTAAAGAAAAGATCTATTTTCTCACTAAGTGGATATTTAATTGTAAATTTTAAGAGAGCTTTGCCTCTGTTTCCCATTTTCCTTGTGTTCAGATGGATAACAGGGAGAAGATTGTAAATTTTCAAAGAAATTTCTCTTAGTGGCACATTTATAATAATGTTGTGTGACTCTCTTTCTCTGCTGCAAAAAAATATTATAATCCCAACTAGGTTTTTCTTTATGCATACTTTTTTTTAAAATTATGGCAGAATTCTTCATCTCATGAACATCTTGATCTTCTGGACTACATCAGTGGGTTTATATAATGTACTGTTAGATTTGCTTTGCTTAGATGAGCAAACATTTCCTGTAGATATAGCCATTATACTCTCATTATGATTACATTTCCTTTGCTAAAAGATAACACGTTGAAATATACTCAGATGCAAAACCACAGCATGCTCTTCCTTTTGCCAGCTTCATTACATGCATTTATATTATTATGATCCCATTAATAATTCCACTATTGTTTTTGTTCTGTTGAAGTTGTCATTTGACTTTTAAATTACTTGGAGCTAGATTGTTACACCATTACTCATGTTAAGTAATACTCTTAGGGCTTGTCTCCACTTACCAGGGGATTGATGCATGACGATCGATCCACCAGGGTGTCGATTTAGCGGGTCTAGTGAAGACACGCTAAATCGACTGCTGATCACTCTCCCGTTGACTTTGCTACTCCACCGGCACGAGAAGGGTAAGGTAAGTCGACAGGAGGGTTTCCCCTGTCTACCTAGTGCAATGTAGACACCACTAAGGTATGTCGACTCCAGCTACGTTATTCACATAGCTGGAGTTTTGTAACTTAAGTCGACTTAGCCCTGTAGTGTAGACCTGCCCTTAGTATCCCTATTCATCTCAGTGTGACTACTCAAGGAGTAAGGCACTACTAACAAGAGTAACAATCCAGCCCTTTGTATTATATCCTCCTGCAATGCATTAGAATTATTCCATTACTTCTGAGTATCATCACTGTAAGAAAATGCTTATTTGCTTAAGTAAAATGTTCTAGTGCGTAATATATAAAAAAGCCAAAAAGTATGATGTATTTTTTCAAGAAGGGTGGCCTCCCTTTTTGCTGACCCAGCATACTCCCAGGAAATCTGCACATTAATTGTGAGCACAAATCTGTGTGCGTGTACCTCTACCTACTTGACAGCAGGCACAAATCAGGCAATTAGAGATACAAATACTCGCCAGATGAAGATATACCCCAGATAAAAAGTGCAAGTTGCCACAATCAAGTGATCCTTTTCAAAGCTGAAATTTACACCTACATCTTGTGCTCCTGCAAAGTATTGAAGGTGCAAATACTGGTAGTTAGACAACTACTTCCTCTGCACACAAAATCATGGAGTAAGTAGTCTATGTGCTATTATTTGAACCTATAGTTTTGCAAGTTGAAATAATGGCGACCCAAATATTGCAGCTAAAAATTGCAACTACAAATAAGAGGCCTTGCTGAATTTTAATCCTTAATTAGTTTAAACTTCATTTGTTCTATTTTATACACATTTCCATCATAAAGCAGACCTCTAATTTGTTTAGGATAACATTACTAAATATTAGAAGGAAAGAGGACAAAATTAGAAGCAGTCATCCAAATTCTGCTTTCTGTTACACCTGTATAAATCTGGAGTAACTCCACTGACTGTACTGCAGTAACAGAGGACAAGAGTTGCCATAAGGTTCTAAATGAAGTTTCTCCTCCTTACACAATGCAAATCATCCAAATAACAAATGATCTTCATTAGAAGACTTTCTGGTGTCTGATTTGTTCATTCCAGAATCAATCTATTCATGATATCATAAAATCCAGCTGTTAAAGAAGTAGGATAGATGGTTTAAAATGAAAAACAAATATGTAAACACAATTTTGTTTTGTTTTTTATGTATATCAGAAGCAGGAAACCTGGGACAAAATCAGTGGGTCCATGGGGCTACCAGGAAGTAAAGGGAGCAGTTAAGGAAGATAAGGATGTTGCAGAGTTGCTATACAACTTCTTTGCAACTGTCTTCACCAAAGACAATGTGGGGGTGCTACATACCCCAGATTGACTGTACTCTTTTCAGATAATAAAAATGAAATCTTATCAGAGACCAAGACGATTCATAGATTCCAAGGCCAAAAGAGAATATTATGATCATCTACTCTGACCTACATAACACAAGCCATAGAACGTCCCCAAAAATAATCCCTAAAACATGTATTTTAGAAAAACATCCAATCTTGATTTGAAAATACTTAGTGATGGAGAATCCACCACCACCCTTGGTAAATTGTTCCAATGGTTAATTATCTCACCTTTAAAAATTTACGCCTTATTTCCAGTCTGAATTTGTATAGCTTCATCTTCCAGCCATTAGATCGTGTTATACCTTTCTCTGAAAGAGAAGGTGCTGGAACAATATGGTAAATTAGACAGAGACCTTAGGGAGAGTAAGATATTTTACTGACAGACATAGTTTCCATGCAAAAGTATATAACACGTTGTCGTTACCTAAGTAACCTGAGGTCATAGTTAATCTTGTAAGCCAGATTTGTAGCTTCTTTTCCAGCTTTTGTGAATCAGTGTAGTTCCACAATGGAGCTGCACTGATTTAAACTAGCTGAGGTTCTGGCCCTATGCATCTGAATGTTATTTAGAGGACCTGGATGTGTACATTATGAATGGTTCTATGTGCGCAGCGAAAGGAAGCTTGTTGTGGAGGTGAAGAGTCTTTGGCTGCCTGGAAATATGAATGGGCTTGAGTGGAAGTCATGTGAGCTGAGTTTACTCTGGATGCTACTTAGCCTTAACCATTCACCCCGACCTTATTGATTGTATTGGTAGGAAATGCACTTGAGCAACCTTACCTCTAAATTAAATACTTTTTTCAAGTTTGTGAACCCATGTCTTGTGTTGAACAGCAGTTGAAGACACTACAGATTTTTAATATATTTTACAAAAATGTAAATCATACAGACTGCACTAGAATAGCCAACCGCAGGGGGAATCCTTTTCCACAAAGAAACTCAGTCCCGAATGTAGTGTCCTTACATGGTCAACAATCCCGCAGACTGCAAGATTTGGCCTTCAATTTGCACCCCCCCACACACACCCTTTTTGGCAAATTGGGATTACAAATAGTAATATTTAGCAAACCAAACAACTAAATGGGCTCCTACCTGGGAGAGCTGGTAAGACTCCAGACTGTAAAACTGCTGTTCCCTAAACAAAACAGAAAGGGTTAGAATGAAATCTCTCTTTACATGTAACAAAGGTTATACAAAAGTACAATCAACATTGTGAAGGAGTCTTTAGTTACGCAAAAAAGCCTTTTTAAGATCCGGAACAGCAACAAAAATACCCTGGAAAAAATGTATAAACAATACCTATATGAAATGTCTACAATATACTTTTAAGGGTCACTAACTTTACTTTGACTGCTTTGAAACATACAAAAACAGCTACTCTGAAACTCAGCACTGATTATGAATTAATTATTCATTAATGGCTATTAGCCAGGACGGGTAAGGAATGGTGTCCCTAGACTCTGTTTGTCAGAGGGTGGAGATGGATAGCGGGAGAGAGATCACTTGATCATTACCTGTTAGGTTCACTCCCTCTGGGGCACCTGGCACTGGCCACTGTCAGTAGACAGAATACTGGGCTGGATGGACCTTTGGCCTGACCCAGTATGGCCATTCTTATGTTATGTTCTTATGTAATTATGAATTAAGTGAGAAAAAAGCAGCTCAACTCTCTAATTCAAGATTAGATAAAATCAGAGTAACAGGTTTAATGTAAGGCTGTATGTGTGCTTGAGTCTCTCCATATGCAATATAATAGATCACATTCACCTCGCCACAAGCAGAGTTAGACTTCCAAAAAAATCTGAAATAATTTTTCTCAATCAGTAGAAAACAAAATAAAACTGTCCACATTAATTATTAGCTACATCGAAATTCAAGTCACATGGAATTCCTGCAGGAAACATGCACAAAGAAAATGTGTTATTTTAAAATCTAAAAACCATGATGCGATATGCCACTGGGTGACAGTGTAGTGTGGCACCAAACACTGATGACTCGGGAAAACTGTGTGGGATGATTCATTATCTGTGAGAAAAATCTAAGCACTGTGGCAGATGTACAGCTCAAGTTTTTACTAGTAATCAATCTGTTAGGCGATCTTCAAAAGGCTGTTATTTTTACTCTAGCATCCCTATATCTTTCCAATGCCTATATAATGTCAGACTTTGCTTATGCTTTTTTTGGTTGATAACACATTAATTCAGGGACAAACTCATGCAATAAAAATCTTTCAATTTATTTACTTCCTTCAAGTTCTTATTCTCAACTGCCTACCTCTGTTCAGAAGTTATATACATAAATTCAGTAAAAAATAAATAAATACAGTATTAGGGACCTGGTCCGACTCCCATTAAAGTAAATGGAAAGACTCCCATCTATTTGGATGGGAGTGGGATTGGGCCCTAAAGATAAGAAGAAAGAATATTGGTTCAGGGAATGAAGAGAAGGTTCCTTATCTTGTGTGGTAATTGAGGTTCTTCGAGATGGGTTGTCCCTGTGGATGCTCCACTTTAGGGTTTCTAGACACCTATAGTGGAGCACCCACAAGGATGCTCCTCCAAGAAGAACTAGACAGTAGAAAGAATTCTGCTCAAGCTCTTTTAATGTTAAACAACAAGATACAAGTATTTAGATTTGCAATGTAAAACCACCTCTACCTGTGGGAAGAGCACACAGGAGACAATTTCAGGCGTTGACTGACTCCACTACAGTCATGAAATCTAAAGCTTCAATATTTACTTGTGTAATCCTGCTTGCTATATTTTTTAACATTTGGGAGATTGATGATGAGCAATTGTTTACACTGGAAGGAAAGAAAACACCCTATAAAAAGAAGCAGAGCCAAGATTTCATTTCTGAAGGATAAATCTAGCAGCATTTCAGAAAAAGAAAAGAGCATTTGATCAAATTAAACTCAAGTGTTCCTGTTCATTTCTATAGTTACTGAGTGCCAATCTACAAGTGGATGCATTTCAGTGGTGAGTAAAATGTTTTTTTGCATATGTAAAGTCTGAAAAGTGTTTTGAGTTCCTTTGGGAGGAAAGTTGCTATTATAAGGGGAGTTGATCTATTATATCAACAATTATAAGGGGCGTTGACATATTTCGGTTGCCTAACTTTTTCATTATAATAGATTCTTGCAACGATTTTTGAGAAGCTATATCATCTCCATTTTAATTCTGCAGAGGTGACTCCCTGAGGCTAGAGAAGTGTCTTTTTTTTTCTTTTGTCCCATGGCAACTCAGGGTTGCTAGGTTATAATACGTTCACAATCACCACAGCTCTCATTTGTGTTCCTCAGGAAAATTCTGGAAAACTGAACGTGAATATTCTAACGCTAGGCCCATGCTACCACAAGAACAGTAGCTGCCAGTTAATTTAATTAATCCAGTACCTCAAGTGACAGATTACAGTGCTGTAGATTTAGGGTTCACACCCTGCTAATGATGAAGGGTTGTGTACATATACTAATTTGTTTTTACCTTTTTCCTTTAAAAACCCCCTACATAATTACATACACAAAACCCGTGTTCAAAGAACATTTTATTTAGCTTGCAAAGTCAAGCACTCAAAAGTGAGAAAAAGCTAGATTTAAGTTTGTCAGTGCAACTTTAATTTTTCCCCATTGTGCATATGAATTATGATATCAAGAAGGGTGAAGTTTTTAACACCTATTTTGCTTCAGCCTTCATTAAAGTTTAATCATGATCAGATACTTAACACAGTTAATATTAACAATAAGAGAACGGAACACAAGCCGGAATAGAGAAAGATAAAGACTATTTAGATAAGTTAGATATATTCAGGTTGGCAGGGTCTGATGAAATTCACCCTAAAGTATTTAAGGAACTAGCTGAAGCAATCTCCAAACTATTAGTGATTATGTTTCATAACTCATGGAGGATGGGGGAAGTCCCAAAGGACTGGAGAAGGGCAAACATAGCACATATCTTTAAAAGGGCGAACAAAGGGGACCTAGGGAATTATAGACCAGTCAACCTAACTTCAATACCTGGAAAGATACTGGAACAAATTACTAAACAATTAATTGGTAAGCACTTAGAGGATAACAGGGTAATATGTAATAGCCAACATGGATTTGTCAAGAACTAAATCATGCTTAACCAACGAGATTTCCTTCTTTGACAGGGATACTGGCCTAGTGGATAAGGTGAAAGCTGAAGACATTATATGCCTTGATTTTAATGAGGCTTTTGTCACAGTCCTACAACATTCCCATAAGCAAACTGCAGAAATGTGGTCTAGATTAAATTACTATTAAGTGGGTTCATAACTGTAACAGGGTGCTGGCCAGGAGGTCCTGAGCCAGGCCTCTGTTAGCCCAGCTCCAATTAAGAAGTATTAATTGGGGCGGGCTGAGTATGCCATGCCTAATTGCTAGAAGAGAAGCACCTGCGGGCCTTATTAGCCAGGGGGCTATATAAAGCTGGCAGGCAGGAAGGAAGTGAAGGGGGGGGGGGAGAGAGAGAGAGAGAGAGAAAAAAAAAAAAAAAAAAAAAGGGAAGAGCTTCCAAAGGCTGTGCATCCCTGCTGGCTGGAGAAGTTAGCTAGCTAGCTGTCCCGCAGGTTGCTGGTTTGGAGCAGACTGTAAATAGAAGGTGGTGGGAGCTGACACTGAAAATAAAAAGCACGGGTGATTCCACTCAGAAGGGGTCTCTGGCTGATTTGTTGCGAGGAAAAGCAAACGCCTCGTTACAATAACTGACTGAAAGACTGTACTCAAAGAGTAGTTATCAATGGTTCTCTGGGAGGGTGTATCGAGTGGGGTCCCGCAAGAGTATGTCCTGGGTCCAGTAGTATTCAATATTTTCATTAGCGAGAGATTATGCTTATAAAATTTGTGGATAATGCCAAAATGGGGTGGTTGCAAGCACTTTAGAGGACAGGATTAGAAGTCAAAACAACCTGGACAAATTGGAGAATTGATCTGAAATCAACAAGATGAAATCCAATAAAGATAAGTGTAAAGTACTACACTTAAGACAGAACAATCAAATTTACAAATACAAGATGGGGAATAACTGGCTAGGCAGTAGTTTTAGTTTTTCAGTTTTATATTGTCGGATGTATAAAAGAAGTGTCATTTATAAGATATGGGAGGTAACTGTCCCACTCTACTCAGCATTGGTGAGGGCTCAGCTGGAATACTGTGTCCTCGTTTTGGGTGCTACACTTTAAGAAAGATGTGGGCAAATTGGAGAGAAGCCAGAGTAAATCAACAAAAATGAGAAAAGCTTTAGAAAAACTGACGTATGAGGAAAGTAAAAAATTGGACATGTGTAGCCTTGAGAAAAGACGACTGGGGGGGGGGGGGGGAGGCGGGGAGAGAGACCTAATAACAGTCTTAAAATATGTTAAGGGATATTTTAAAGAGGATGGTGATCAATTGCTCACCATGTCCACTGAAGGTAGGATAAAACGTAATCAGCTTATCAGCAGCAAGGGAGATTTAGGTTAGATATTAGAAAAAACTTTCTAACAATAAGGATAGTTAGTGCTGGAATAGGCTTCCAAGGAAGATTGTGGAATCCCCATCCTGAGAGGTTTTTAAGAACAGGTTAAGTCAAGGACCCTTCCTGCCCTGCGTTAAAATGAGACAGCCCCTTCCTCATTCAGCATACAGGATGGATGTGTAAAGGGCCAGAATTAAATAGCAACCTGTAGAGTGTTCTTTTAACTGTTTTGTCAAAGTACAGTCATATAAATAGATAGCAAGATATTACAGGTCCTGAGTGAGAGGTAGGACGCCGGTATGGTGGTAGTAAACTGAAAGTATTCTAATATTCTGAATAGTTTACTATTAATGTATTCAGTTTTTCTTACTTGAAGTTATCATCTGAAAAGTGGCTTTGGCACCTTCTAACTCAACAGCTCTGCTCCCTGTATGTATTTAAAGTCATAACTACTCACTTAACTGACAAAAATAAGATTTTGCTCCTTTTTAGTCCTGTCAGCACTGCAGAAGCTTAACACCTACAGGAGAATGAGTAGGATTCTTTGTTGGCTCATGCACCATCCATAGAATTGTTAATTAAATTTCATTTGCAGAATTGTTAGGGTTGCTGATGTGAGAGCTAGAAAGAATTCAGCTTGATTTTCAGATGTAAGGATGAG